AGGAAAAGAAGGTGCAGATGGTAGGAGCAGCTGGTGATGCCTCCACTCCTTCCTGATGCTCACCTCAGAGGATGCCAGGAATGGGCCCTGGCTTACAAACCCAGCCCCTCCTGGGGCTCTGCAAGGTGATGGTGCACCTGCAGAAGCCTTGCCTTGGCCAGTGGCCATGGTGAGATATATTCCTTTTCCTTTCTCTTCAAAAAGTGTTTCCTACTCTACTCAACAATTTGAGTTATAAGTAAGCTGATGGCTTACCAGGGCTGCTGCAGTACTGCATGCAAATATCTTAGCATACATAATATAAATCTCATCTTAGCATAAATTAGCATAAGGAGAAGGTGCCTCTTCCTTAAATCTTCCTCTCACTGTGGTAGAATAAGATAGTGCATTGTCCTTATGCAGTGCACATCCTACACAACCATACGTGGTAACCCGTGACTTGTACTCATGTGTCTCCATTCCTCTGTAGGTCCTGAAGCACCTTCGACATCTAAACTTTACCAACAATATGGGCGAGCAAGTGACTTTCGATGAGTGTGGTGATCTGGTGGGAAACTACTCCATCATCAACTGGCACCTCTCCCCAGAGGATGGCTCCATCATGTTTAAGGAAGTTGGGTATTACAACGTCTATGCCAAGAAGGGAGAGAGACTCTTCATCAACGAGGAGAAAATATTGTGGAGTGGGTTCTCCAGGGAGGTACGTGCCAGCCCTCAGAACACCAGACACCTACAGTGTAGGCAGGAAGTGGTGCCACACTCTGGGAGAGCCTTGGGCTTCACCCCTGGGTTCCAAAATGAGGCTCCACTGCCCTCAACTCACTGGCCTCTGCATCTTCAGAGTTCCCTGTGAAATCCTTAAGTGTTTGATATACAGAGGAGAATCCTCAGGACCTTAGCCCCATGCCTTTTTATTGTATTAAAATAATTTTAATTTTTACAAACATGACTTCCTAGCTAGCGATAAAGCTTCCTTGGCTAAAACTTGCCCCAACCAGAGCGAAATGTTTAAGCAATCTTAAATATCACTCAAGCCAGCAGCTCTCTCCTGGGGCTGAGGGCTAAGTTTGAGAGTGGAGGAGGCTGTTTTGGGGTTGTCGCAATGACCAGGAAGTACTAATGACCTTCAGAACTTAGGGTCCAAGAATGCTAAAGGTCCAGCACATGTGAGACAATCTTGCATAACAAAGAATTGTCCCCAATCCAGTTATCAATAACAGATATTGAAAAATGCTATAGTCTGAAACAGAGCTGGAGGCTTCAGACCGGGGCATTTGGTGTGATTGCTGTCATTTATGGCCCGGACAAATCACACAGAGGTAGGTGCCTGTCATACAGATGTCTCAGGGCCAAGCTGTCAATCTAAAGGATAATTTATTCTACTATGGGAGACTTTTTTGAAAAAGAGAACATGTATGACTGTAGTCAAGGCCCCCTTCCTTGAGTATTATCTAGAAGTCTGATTAATAACCAGAGCCCATCACTGAGTAAATATGCACTTAAGGAAAAGATATGTGGTAAGGTGCAATGGCGACCATTCTAGGACGGTTGCATCTAGGACGTAGTAAGCTGCTGAGGACTCAGCTCCTCTGTAAGAACACAAACCCTAGACAGAGTATCCTCTTTAATGTTCCCAGGAAAACTTGAGAAGACCCTCCACACTTCTCTGCATTTGCTTTTCTTTTCTTTCTTTCTTTCTTTCTTTCTTTCTTTCTTTCTTTCTTTCTTTCTTTTTTTTTTTTTTTTGTGATAGGGCATGTGCACTCATCAGAAAGAGAGAGAGAGAGACAGAGAGACAGAAAGCAAGAATTATCCCCCAGGAGGGATGGCCATGGCACAATCCCTTCTCTTCCATTCTCCTCTCAGGATCTTGGGCACGCATGCACACATGCCCAACGTGAGTTTAAGCCACTGGATCCGGGACTTGAACCATGGTTGACTACAATGGCAGTCCAGCGACATAGCCATTACGCCAACTACTGGTCCCTTGCTTTTTTCTTTTACACTATCACCTTGGAGCATCTTGGGCAATCACTTTTGATAACATGACCAGATTCAACGTCATCTTTTTACCAAATGTGTCTCAGGTTGAGAGGGTTCTGATGAAATGCTACAATCTCACCATTTCTCAATATGCAGGCTATTGCCCAGGGGAAGGGCTCTATAAAGAGTGAATCTCATCCAGTGTGCAGTATTTATTAGCTTCTATTTCAGGGGTGGATTCTGAAATGTAAACATCATGACCTTTTCCAGGTGGAGAGTTTGGGGCTCTAGAGGTGATATTTCTCTGTTGGTTAATTATACCTTTGTCTACATTATCATACATTTCAACTGGCCAGAGTCTAAATTGATCAACTAAACTATCAACCGTTACCTTTGTTGGCTCATTTAGGTTTTCTCCCACCCCCGCTGATGTACATAACTGATTATCTCTAATTGGTGCAATTTGCATCTCTCCTCCTGCATGAAAACCCACTCTTCTCCAGTTCTCCCTAACCCTATGTCCTCTGCCAGGCTCTGTGCATCATGGGTTTAAACACTAGCAAATACCTATCACAGAAAGACCTCATAAATCCAGTCATTTATGTTCCTGGAATAGCTGACAAGTTTTAAATTAAACCTGATTTTTCTATAGACACATTACCTCTAACCTAGCACACAGTAGACACTCAAGAAATATTAGAATCCAATTCACTCTATCTTCTCTATGCTTTTGTAGAAATGACCACAAAAATCTACATTTAATTATAATTATCTATTAATGGCTTCTGGGCATACCTCACAAAGTTATTATGGAGATCTAGGATATAAAGGCATATTATAAACTGAATTGCACTCTGTAAATGCAAAGAGTTATTAATATAGCATTTGTTAAATTTTTTTGTTTAGAGCATGTGCACTCACTCAAGAGACAGTGGGAGAGGGAAAGTGAGAAATCACTCCCCTACCCGGGGAGACAGCCATGTTGCAACCCCTTCTCCATTCTCCTCTCAAGATCCCAGGCATGTATGCACCCGTGGCAGGCATGTTTTTAGGCCGTGGGGTCCTGAACTTGACCCATGGAGTTGGCCATGTGGGATCCAGCTCCTTAACCACCAGGCCACCTGCCAGCCCAATGTAGCATTATATCTTTTTTTGTTTTTAAGAGAGATTTTTGCTACAGGGCGTGTGTGCTTGCTGGAGAGACAGACAGCGAGAAATCATCCCCCAGGGGGAGTGGCCATGTCATAATCCTTCTCCTCCATTTTCCTCTAGGGATTTTGGTCATACATGCACATGTGCCAGCATGCGTTTCAAGCCACTGGGTCTGGGACTCAAACTGCTGTTGACTGTGTGGGAGTCCAGCCACATAACATTACGCCATCTGTCGGTCCCAGCGTTATATCTTAATCAGCACTCTCAATTACTAATGCAGCCCTTTACAGCTAGAGGAATCTTTAAAGATCCCTGTATCCAGTCCTCCAATGTGAGTTTGAAAACACTGAGGATTAGAGGGACCAGCAGTTAGCGTAATGGCTATGTTGCTGAACTCCCATGTAGTCGAGTGCAGTTCAAGTCCTGGACCTGGTGGCTTAAACTCATGCCAGGCGTGTGTGCGTGCATGCCTAAGATCCCAAGAGAGGCAAATAGACGAGAAGGGATTGAGGGGTGGCCATCCCCCCTGGGGGGTGCTTTCTCGCTGTCGGTCTGTCTCTCTGGCAAGCTCATGCCCCCTGTAGCAAAAACCTCTAAAAAAAACCAAAAAACAAAAAACACTGAGGATTAGAGAGGCAAGTGTGATTTCCCAGGCCAGGCTGGTTAGGGTAAGAGCTGAGACTAGAGTCCGAGGGCTCTAGCTGTGGCCCCAGAGTACCATACCATCCTCTGCACCATCTTGCCAATATATTTTTTTTTTCTTGTTTTGCTGCAACAAATAAGGAAAAAAAAGAGATCTTAATTAGGGGCTTGGACTTCAGATGAGCTTCCTTGGTCAAAGCTGGACAGACTTCTTGTATAAGGGCTACTGGGGGAACTTGGAGATAATTGACAGCTTTTTGCAAAATGACTTTCCAGTGGCTCCCTTAGTTCTTTTTTATGTTGATAGAATTTCTCTTTAGCTGAAGGATGCTGTAAAAGGACTCAGAGAGTGACATTCTTCTAATCCTTGGCTAATACCAAGCAGAATTTGGTACCGTGGAAAGTTCAGACTTTGAAGACAGACGTGGGTATAAATCTCAGCTCTATATTCGGGTCATGTGTGACCTTGAGCCTGTGCATTACCCATTATAAAGGAGAAAAAAAGGCATGGCCGAGACTCCCACAACCTCCCAATGTTTGTAGTCCCCATTTTCTTTATGAAATATAACTCTACTTTAGCTGGACACACAGCCACCCAAGGTAAATGTGATATTTCCCAGCCTCTCTTCTGCTAAGTGTGGCCCTGTGACTAAACCCTAGAGATGGAAAGTAAGTGGGAGTATTTGTGGTGGCCTCTGTAAATCTTTTTAAAGGAAGTGTTTGCAAGTATCCTTTGCTCTCCTATTCTCGCATTTCTCTATCTTACCTCCTGGAAACTAGATGCCACCATTAAGGATGGTAAGATCAAGACCAAACATGACAGAACAACAAAGTAGAAAGTAGAAAGATTCTAGGCCTCCATCAGTGTGGAGTGCCTTCTCTGTACCACACGCCTGCACGTTCCTATGAGTGAGAAATACATTTTGATCTTGTTGAAGACATTTTGAGAATTTGGGGCACGTATAGCCTAATAGAAACCAGGGAAAGCTACTAAACTCATTTTATGAGGCTAGCATAATCTTGATACCCAAAACAGGTAAGAACAGTACAAGCAAAGACTACTAAGGGCCAGTGACATTAGTTACACATAGATGCTTACATCCGAGATGAAACATCAGCAAACCTGCACCAGCAGTGAATAAGATATGTAATATCTCATGATGGCATCCAGTTGTAATGTAATGTAATGTAATATAATGATAGCCAAATATTATAAAGTTCATAAATACAGCTTATCACATTAATGGAATAAAAAGTAAATGTCCTATAACAGTATGAGAAGATATAAGGGAGGTAGGTATTCTATAACATTCAACAGTTTTTTGAATTAAAAACAAAAACTTCATAAGTCTAGGAATAGAAGGAAACCTTAGTTGGAAACCAGCAGTTAGCGTAATGGCTATGTCGCTGGACTCCCGCGTAGTCGACCACGGTTCGCATCCCGAACCCGGTGGCTTAAACTCACACTGGGTGCATGTGCGTGCGTGCCCAAGATCCCGAGAGGAGAATGGAGGAGAAGGGATTGCGGCGTGACCATCCCCCCTGGGGGGTGATTTCTCACTTTCGGTCTCTATGGCTCTCTCTGTCTGGTGAGCACAAGCACCCTGCAGTGAAAACCTCTCAAAAAAAAAAAAGAAGAAGGAAACCTTAGTTTATCTTACCTTGATAAAGTGTTCAGCAACCATCATTCTTTTTTTCTTTTGAGAGAGAGAAATATTTTTTTGAGAGGTTTTTGCTATAGGGCGCGTGTGCTCACCAGAAAGACACAGAGAGACAGAGAGGCAGAAAGACAGAAAGCGAGAAATCACCCCCCAGGGGGGATGGTCACGCCGCAATCCCTTCTCCTCCATTCTCCTCTCGGGATCTTGGGCATGCACGCACATGCGCCCGGCATGAGTTTAAGCCACCAGGTCCGGGACTCAAACCACAGTCGACTACATGGGAGTCCAACGACAGAACGATTACACTAACTGCTGGTCCCCAAGATAGACTTAATTCTAGTGATGTGTTTTATTGTTTCTGAAACATATATACTATTAGGTAGTAAAGAACTAATAAATTTTGAGAATAAGTATTCAGTTACTTGGAATTTCAGAATCAGAGGCTTTCAAAATGATGGAGCAATGATAAAATTGTCCCAAACTGTCATTTAAGAGAACCAGCATTTGTCGTGTGGTGGTTCAGGTGCTAGACTCTAGCCTAGCCAACTATGGTTCAAGCCCTGGACACAGCGGCTTGAAAATTATGCTGGACTCATGTGCATGCATGCACAAAATACCCAGAATGGAAGAGAAAGGGTTGTTACGTGGCCATCCCTCTGAGGGGGTGGGTGTGTGTGATTTCTCACTTTCCCTCTCTCTATCTCTGTCTTTGTCTCTCTCTTCCTCTCTCTCTCTCTCTCTCTCTCTCTCTCGTGAATGCACATACCCTATGGCAAAAAATCTTTTTTAAAAAATGCCATTTAAGGACCTGGAATTGAGTAAAAGCATACAATAAAAGGTAAAGTGTAGGACCAGCATATGGGGTAAAGGTTACATCGCTGGACTCCCATGTAGTTGACTATGATTTGAGTCCCAAATCTGGTGGTTTAAACCTCATGCCAGGCATGTATGCATGCATGCCTGAAGTCCCAAGAGGAGAATAGAGGAGAAAAGATTGCAATCCCTTCCCTTCTGGAGAGTGATTTCTGATTTTTTGTTTCTCTGGCGAGTGCACATGCCCTATAGCAAAAAAATCTCTCTAAAAATAAAAAGAAAAACTAATGAAGCTCTTATCAGAACAGTGGCAATCTCTGGTATTTTAGCTGGGGCTGCTCTCTAATTATTTCTAATAATTTGATTATTCTCTTGGGTTTTCTAAGTGGACTATCATATAATCTGCAAATACTAGCAGTTTTATTTGGTCCTTTCCAATATTTATGCCCTTATTTTTCCTGTCTTATTTCCCTAGCTAACACCTTCAGTGTGAGACTAAGCAGTAATGGAGACAGTGGACATACTTGTTTTCAAGGATTAAATATTTTTAGTATTTTCTCATATATAATGGTGTTTATTGTAAGGGTTTTTGTTTTTATTGTCTTTTTTCAAGGTAGAGATATCTCTTCCTACTCTTTTTCACTAAGATTTTCTCATTGGTTTGTATTGAATTTTAGCACATTCTTTTTTTCATCAATTGAGGATCAAAGAGTCTTTCTCCATTAATTGGTTAGTGCAATGAGGAACACTTACAGCTTTTCTAATGTTAAAGTGGTCTGCATCTCTGGATAAACCCAGCATGATGAGGGTGTGCTCTCTTCCCGCTGTCCTCTGAGTTTGTTCGTAGTGTGCTTAGTGTTGTTTTGGTTTCAAGTGGTGGGAAGCAGTGTTACTCTTCTCCGGTCCCCTTAGATTCTGTGTCTCTCCAGGACTGCTGGGTATTTTTGCTACCAATAACCAAAATATGCTTCTTTTTTTCAGAATATTGGCTGCAGACTAATGGAACCTACTTTGCCCAAAAACAGAGAGGCAGAAAAACCTAGAAATTTACATCCCCCTGAAATGACCCTAAACTGAGATGTGGTGTGAAAGTACAAATCTCTCACCCCCTTTCCTCAGGTCAGGATAAGCCTGTGGCAGGACACACAGTCCAGGGTCCCATGAGGGGGTCAGATCAAACCACTAGGTTTGGGATTCAAACCGTGCTGTTGGCCATGTGAGACCCAGTGCCTTAACCACCATACCGCGTGGCTGGTCCTTCGTTTCCTTCTGATTCCTCTATTTCTATCCTGGCTGCGTCACTGAGTCATTACAAGGATCCCAGAAATTACCCTGCAGAGCAAAATATAAAAATGTATGAATTGCAATTTGCTGCAAAGTTGAGTCTAGTTGTCTAAATTTGCCTTCATCTCAGTACCTACCGTTGTGACTGTCCCTTTGTGTCTGGGTCCCCATCCCTTTATCTTTTAGTTTGTCTTAAGCTTTTACAGCCATGGAGGATAAACAGGTATCTCATTCCTGGACTTGGAGGGGATGGGAGAGAGAATTATCTAAGTAGGATTTGGTCACTATGTAGACTCCCAACAATTAGTCTTCACAGAGTCCCATAGATGCGTGTGTTCGTGTGTGCACATGTACGCATTCGTTCACAGGCATCTCTCTCCTTCACAGATAATAGGACCAAGGGCTCTGGACCTCACTCTGCCTAGGCTGGGCCCAGAGTCTGCTGCTGTTGTTCTCGGGCCCACCCTCTTTGCCGTGCATGTGTTGAAGAAGCTGTGAGACAGACTCCTGGCCAGGCATGGGTCCAGAGCTGCAGCCATTCATTTTCATGCTCTCTGTCCCCAGGTGCCGTTCTCCAACTGCAGCCGAGACTGCCTGGCAGGGACCAGGAAAGGGATCATTGAAGGAGAACCCACCTGCTGCTTCGAGTGTGTGGAGTGTCCAGATGGGGAGTACAGCGATGAGACAGGTAAAGGAGCGTGTGCGGGAACATGTGCAGGGGTCCGTCCACTCCAGGGTCCTGGGGTCAGTGAAGCCTACGGAAGGGCTGGGCTGAGATGGTGCTTAGCATGGTTTCTTATTTAACGAGGGTATGTCTGTGCATCACACCAGGCTGGGCACCGGGGGAAGAGAAAAGGCCGTCCAAGTCTACAGACACTCCTGATACGTGTTTTCCTCTTGCCTTGATACTGCTCTCCAATGCTGTCTTCCTATTCTCAGAGCTCAGCAGCCTCCAATAGGCCAGGTTCTGTCTGCTCTCGCTTCCAGGCTTCAGTCACGATAGGTGGCCTGCTGGGTGCTTGGCACTGTACTTGCTGTCTTACATATGTGTTTCCTGTGCTCAGGTTTATTTCACTTATTTTTTTAGAATGATTTTATTTAACTTTACTTATTTATTTTAATTTGACCAAAGAGGGACAGAGTATGAGAGGAGAGAGAGTAAGAGAGAGAGAGAGAACGTGAGAAAGCAAGCTGCCAGGTCCAGGACTCGGTCGGCCATGTGGGAGTCCAGCACCCTTAACCACCATGCCACCTGCCACCCCCGCCTCAGGTTTAAGTGAGAATAATAATTAAACCTCCCAGGACCGGGAAATGGTATAATGGCTACATCACCGGACTCCCACATAATTTACTACGGGTCCAGCCCCGGACCTGGCAGGCTTACTCCCACATAATTGACTACGGTTCAAGTCCTGGACCTGGCAGCTTAAAACTCACACCGGCATGTGTGTGTGCATGCTCAAAATCTTGAGAGGAGAGTGGAGGAGAAGGAATTGTGGCGTGGCCGTCCCCCTTGGGTGATTTCTTGCTTTCTGTCTTTCTCTTATCTATCTGGCAGGTGCATGTTCCCCATAGCAAAATTCTTCTGAAAAATTAATAATAATAATTAAATCTTCTTTACAGAGTTTTTAAATTAAACAAATTAATGTTGATAAATCACTTGGTAAGCTCTAGATAAATGTTTGTCAAGTGAAACAAGTAAGCATGTTAGAGGTATTCTATAAACATTAGTAATTGTTATTAGCTCATTTCCTCTTCACTGCAACAATGGGGTTATTAATGCTTCCGTTTCACGAATGGGAAAGCTGAGGTGCAGAGAGATTAAGGAGGCTGACCAAAGTCATGTAGCTAGTAATGGCATGGCCAGGGTCTCGTCCAGATCTCTAATGCAAAGTCCATGTTCCTTTCATTGCCCCGAACTGCGCGCTGCCTGAGACAGGGCAGAGAGCTAGTCGATACTCATCCAGTGAATGAATGTCCGGGGGGAGCCATGAATGTGGAGGGAGGGAGGTAGAGGCTGTGTACGTGAGATACTGTCTTGGTCTAGAAGAAAGTCTGCTGTGGCGAGTCTTGAAGCCCATCCATGTATTGAAAATAAATCAGAGTATATGTGAGATGGTAGATGGGTCCATGTGCAGTAACCGTCTTACTCTCTCAGCGGATCCCATGACATCATGTTGCAAAGCTCAGGTATACACAATAAAGTTTATTGTAAAAACAACCACAAAATTATTCATCAAGCTTGAGTCACTCTGTGAAAAGTTGACAAAGCACGCAGACCCCTGGTGCACAGGCCAGTCACCATCTCGCAAGGATGATCATGCTCTGCTACAAGCGATCAGCAAGTAGTGCAAAGGAAACAAGTGCCCCGCCACGTGCAGAGGAAAACAAGCCACAGAACCATCAAAGGCACGGGACGTTAAGTATGTCAGTTAGAGTTATGTCTTAGGTTGTCAGAAAAATCATGAGTTTTCTATGCAAAAATGCTCATGACTTTTCTGACAACTGTATTTATATAAACTTTGCTATAGGGCACGTACATTCGCCCGAAAGAGAGAGAGAGAGAGTGAGAAAGCACTCCCCCCACCCCCACCCCCCGCTGGGGGATGGCCATGCCACAGTTCCTTCTCCTTCATTCTCCTTTCAGGATATTAAACAAGCACACGCACATGTGCAGTCTTTCAAGCCACGGGGTCCAGGACTCAAGCCACTCAGCCAGTCGTGTGATATTTAGCTGCCTTAACTACCATGACACCAGTGGGCCCTCAACCTATTTTTGATAGTGTAAAGCTAACAATGATTTCATCATTAAATAAACTACACAGTGATTGCACCCAGAAACCTATGTACCCTCACTACTGCATGCACTCACAAACCCTAGTCCAGGCCACACAGTGACTAACTCTCTGCTGGGACATTTTGCAGATGCCAGTGCCTGTGACAAGTGCCCAGATGACTTCTGGTCCAATGAGAACCACACTTCCTGCATTGCCAAGGAGATTGAGTTTCTGTCGTGGACGGAGCCCTTTGGAATCGCACTCACCCTCTTTGCTGTGCTGGGCATTTTCCTGACTGCCTTTGTCCTGGGTGTCTTCATCAAGTTCCGCAACACGCCCATCGTCAAGGCCACTAACCGAGAGCTGTCCTACCTCCTCCTCTTCTCCCTGCTCTGCTGCTTCTCCAGCTCCCTGTTCTTCATCGGGGAGCCCCAGGACTGGACGTGCCGCCTGCGCCAGCCGGCCTTCGGTATCAGCTTTGTGCTCTGCATCTCGTGCATCCTGGTGAAGACCAACCGCGTCCTCCTGGTGTTTGAGGCCAAGATCCCCACCAGCTTCCATCGCAAGTGGTGGGGGCTCAACCTGCAGTTCCTGCTGGTTTTCCTCTGCACCTTCATGCAGATCGTCATCTGTGTGATCTGGCTCTACACCGCACCCCCCTCCAGCTACCGTAACCATGAGCTAGAGGACGAGATCATCTTCATCACATGCCACGAGGGCTCGCTCATGGCCTTGGGCTTCCTGATTGGCTACACCTGTCTGCTGGCTGCCATCTGCTTCTTCTTTGCCTTCAAGTCCCGGAAACTGCCGGAGAACTTCAACGAAGCCAAGTTCATCACCTTCAGCATGCTCATCTTCTTCATCGTCTGGATCTCCTTCATCCCGGCCTATGCCAGCACCTACGGCAAGTTCGTCTCTGCCGTGGAGGTGATCGCCATCCTGGCGGCCAGTTTTGGCTTGCTGGCCTGCATCTTCTTCAACAAGGTCTACATCATCCTCTTCAAGCCGGCCCGTAACACCATCGAGGAGGTGCGCTGCAGCACCGCTGCTCACGCTTTCAAGGTGGCGGCCCGGGCCACGCTGCGCCGCAGCAACGTCTCCCGCAAGCGCTCCAGCAGCCTCGGGGGCTCCACAGGGTCCACCCCCTCATCCTCCATCAGCAGCAAGAGCAACAGCGAAGACCCCTTCCCACAGCCCGAGAGGCAGAAACAGCAGCACCCACTGGCCCTGACCCAGCAGGAGCCGCAGCCGCAGCAGTCGCAGCAGCCCCGGTGCAAGCAGAAGGTCATCTTCGGCAGTGGCACAGTCACCTTCTCCCTGAGCTTTGACGAGCCTCAGAAGAACACCACCGCTCACAGGAATTCCACACACCAGAACTCCCTGGAGACACAGAAAGGCAGCGATGCCCTGACCAGACACCAGGCACTGCTCCCGCTGCAGTGCGGGGAGAATGACTCAGAACCGGCCACCCAGGACACAGGCCTGCAGGGGCCTGTCGGGGGCGACCACCCGCCAGAGATGGAGGACCCTGAAGAGATGTCCCCAGCCCTCGTGGTATCCAACTCACGGAGCTTTGTCATCAGCAGTGGCAGCAGCACAGGCACAGAGAACATCCTGCATTCGTAAAACCGAAGGAGTCCAGTCCAGGCAAAATCCAGAGAGGCTTCTTGGGATCACAGGGGTCAGGAATCACCCTGGACTCCTTCCTTCCGAGGAAGGAGAGGTACTAGAACTCCAACTGCCCAAGCGTAGTCGCACTGTTTTAAATGACAGTGAATTGACTAATATTCCCTATAAAAATGAAAAAAGAAGAAGAAAAAGAGCCACGTGTTTCTGTGGTGGTGTTCGTCAGGGCATTGAGGTCGCCATAGTCAGTCTGTCTGTCCACATGCACTCTCTCTTCCTCTGCTCTACCCCACCCACCAGCGGACTGTGAAACCGAGACTTAAACTACCCACCTACTCCTTCCTTTTTTTCGGTCCAGTATTGAAATATTGAAATGTCTGGCCTGGAAATCATGGACAGCCTGGTCCAGACACAAAAATGGCAGACTGACAGGACATCAGCCTTGCCGTCACCAGAGAGGGGTCTGGAAAGCAGAAGGTGGACTGCCCAACACCTCAACAATCGCAAGAACAGGAAATGTTCAAAAATGTCAGAGGAATGTGGCCCCTATTTATGAAAACCAGAAGACACCTGGTCTCTCGCCTGCTGCTGCTATCGTGTGACATCTAGGTTTGCAGCCCTCCTGTTCCAGTCTGTCTGGTTTTTTTCCAGAATGTGACAGTGAGGCCACCGTACCAAGATCACAGAACCATCCCGGATTGTTGAGAAGGGACTGCATAAATCCACCGAGCTGTATCTGTAATTAATGTTGCTATATGTAACTTTATGCTTAAGAAAATGCTTTTGCTGTAGTAGTCTGTGGACGATATACACTGAAAACAGGTCACAGTCTGGTTTATATAAGGCAGTATTACTGAGCTCTGCTTTCCTTTTCCATCCCACCACTCTCACTCCCGTGAGTTGATCCTGGTATGAGAGTCCCAGGCACCCAGAAGTTCCCTCCATTCCTGTCCAAAGGCTCCCAGTTGTTGGCCCCCTAACCATTGCTGAGGTAAGAAATGTGGTTCCAAGAGAGCATCCCCCAGACACCACTGCTGCATTCCCTCCAGCAGTGGAGGTAAAGGCTCTGAGTGGTATACTGCTGAATACTCGGGCTCCAGATTTGGAAAGACCAGGGTTCGAGCACTGGCTTAGTCACTCGCAAGTTTGGTGGCCATAGCTGGGGAACTTGAGCCTCTGTACATGCCATCTTGTCTCTGCAATGGGGTGATCATCATCCTCTTCCCTCAGAGCTCTTATGTGGATAAAATGAGATCATCTATGTAAAGTACCTTAGCCTGGTGCCTAGTACATCATAAGCACTCAATAAATACTAGTTAACTTTATTACTGATACTGTAATCAGTATGTTTTCCTTGGCCTAAAATACAAGATGAAACATTTTTTCATTATTCAGATTATCATGACTAGCCCACTGGTAACAGTAACTTTCTCCATAATAAGTCCAGGAACTTTGAGACCCAGTTCAAGGCATCAGCCTTGGTAACGTGGGCTCAAGGTGAAGAAGCCAGAAAGTGAGTCCTTCTGGTGTGCCAGGGCCCAGACGACACAGAGAATGGCCCATCACCAGTCTGCAGTCGTAGGTTCTCCGGTCACTTGAAATGCTGCTCTTTAAGCCGTGGTCAAACCAGGACAATTAAATCTGCCTGAGGCTCCAAGTGTTAGAGTTCTTCCTCTGACCACTTTCCTTTAGAGGGCACCCTGAATGATCTTTAGGATAACTTGATATGACGGTTGGTAAGATAAGGATGAAAAGCCATTAGAGGGTTGGCCACATGTCTGAGACACAGAAAGTGGCCACCCAGGATGAACCTGGTGAGGTACCTGCTCTCACACCCAGGAAGGGCACCAGCCCTGGCCCTGCCTGCAGCCCCAGCTGATCACACTGCTGTGCAAGGCCCAGAGCTGAGGGCAGGTTTGGGTTTAATATCAAGCTATGCTTTAAGAAAGAAGCTGAAAGTCTGATGGTTTGTTCCTGTGCGTGCGGTAGTTATGTGGAAACAACCTCAGCAAAATGTCACCTACTCATTCTTCCGGAGTTCGACTTCAGATACCCTCACCCACATGGCCGATGTGTGAGAGGATGAGGCTCAGCGAGGCAAATGCACATTTACACTGAGCTTTCATCTCACCAGATGCTTTGAAATAACATCATTTCTCCTACTATTCTTTTTTTTTTTTTTTTTTTTTTGAGAGAGAGATTTTTGCTGTAGGGTATGTGCACTCGCTGGAGCATTGGAAAGAAACAGACAGAAATCAAGAAATCACACCCCAAGGGGCTAGCCAAGCCCCCAATCCCTTCTCCATTCTCCTCTTGGGATTTCAGGCATGAATGCACACCTGGCTTGAGTTCCAAGCCACCAGGTCCAGAACTCAAACTGTGGTCAACTACGTGGGAGTCCAGCAATGTAACCATTATGCCACCTGCTGATCTCCTTTTTTTTTTTATAATTTTTTTTTGGGGGGGAGGTTTTCGTTATAGGGCACGTGCACTCGCCAGACAGAGAGAGAGAGACATAGAGACAGAAAGCGAGAAATCACCCCCCAGGGGGGATGGTCACGCCGCAATCCCTTCTCCATTCTCCTCTCGGGATCTTGGGCACGCACGCACACGTGCCCGGCGTGAGTTTTAAGCCACCGGGTCCAGGACGTGAACCACGGTCGACTACGTGGGAGTTCAGCGACATAGCCATTACGCTAACTGCTGGTTCCCATGATCTCTTTTTTTTTGAAGTTGGTATTTATTTCTTCCATGAATACAAGGACAGAGAGGAGAGATAAAAGGAGAGAGACAGCATCTCCAACACCTCCAACACCACAGTTCACCCTCAGCCTTCAGTCAAACCCAGATTATGTGCAAACATGCACCCAGTGTACCCAAGGAGGTCTCAGGACTTGAACCCTTACATTGGGGATTATCTCAGCATGTCATGCCTCACTGGTGCACTACTGTGAAGTCCCTCTCAAAATTCTCATCAGAAAGGTAGACACGACATCATCGTCTCAATTTAAATGTAGCAACTATAACTCTCAGCACAAAACCGTGAGTGTAAAATAGGAACATCATTTTTTGATAACAACCTGCTTTCTGCCTTAAATTCCCATACAACCTAGAGACAAAGACTTCATCTTAGTCAAATTAGAGTTTCCTCAGTAACTTCATAGTTTTCTGAGTCAATTTAGATGCTTGGGGATTGAGTCCCAGGTCTTTTCCTTCTCCCTTCCAGGAGGGTTTCTGGGGTGCAAAGAGGGTAGGGCTCCTCGGTCATCCCATTGACATTGTGGAGAGTGATCTTGCCTGGCCCTTGGTAAGGCACCTCCATGCCAGCATTCTGTGTTGTATCGCAACCCATCTGGTCCCCAACCATAAGATCCGTGGTTATTTTTATGGATGCTTCATCGTCCTAGATGTTAGGTCTTCCCAAACTGGCAGTCTCTCTGTTACCTCCATGTTTATCCCTCAGATCTGGGAACTACCAGTAGCCCTCACTGCTATGTCTGCTTGACTGCTGCCTCCCATCAGGATGTGGAGAATTCATGGAGGCCAACAAGTGTCCAGGGGACCAGATAAGAGACAGAATATATGTCTCCAACTGGTGTAGACTCTGATGGTAGGCAGAGTGATGCTCACCGTCAGATGTTCACAGCCTAACCTCTACAACCTGATTATGATGTTACACGGCAAGGATGAATTAAGGGAGCCACTGGTGGACCAGCCTCTGTGGTGCAGCCGGTAGCATACCAGACTATAGAGCTGGAAGCCACATGCCAGCCTCAGTTTGAGTTCCTGGTCTGGTCCACTTGAAAACACACCAAGCATGTGTGCAGGTACCCAAAATCCCAGTAGACTGGAGGAAGTACTTGGATCATAGTGTGACCAAGTACTGTGGGGGTGCTTCTCTCTCATTCTCTACCATGAAATGCATGCATACATAATAAAGTGGACAATTCTCCATTTTGTCAGGATTTGGGGCATGCATGTATATGTACCAGTGTATTTTTCAAGCTGCTGGGTCAGGATGCTTTTTTTTTTTTTTTTAATTCTCTCTCTCTCTAAATAATAAAATGGAGTTAAGATTGTGAGTCAGCCAACTGTGAGAAGAAAGATAATCTTGGATTACCCAGGTGGGCCCCTTGTAATCACAAGGGTCCTTACCATGTGGAAGAGGGAAGCAGAAGAATATACAGTGTGAGGAAGACTCCACCCACCATTGCTACCTGTGTGTATGAAAGGGGGCGTGAGCCAAGGGGTGCAGGCAGCTTCTAGAAGCCGGAAAAAGAAAAGAAAAACAATTTTTTCCCTAAAACTTCAAGAGGGAATAGCCTACCAACACCTTGATTCTAGTGAGACCCCTTTTGTACTTCTGGCTTCTTGAACGTAAGATGATAAATCTGTGTTCTTTGAAGCCGCTCAGTTTGTTTCAGCAGCAGGAAGCATACACATTTTCACTGACAGCTCACTGAGGTGCCCGTCCCTCAGTCTAGGTCACTCAGTCTCCTTCCAAAAGACACTTCTGACCCACATTCTACTCTGAATCTATTAATAGAAAATAAAGCTTATGTTCTAGGTCTTTGGGGCTTACGCTAGAGAAAATTGATAGCCATGTTCTCTCATGTTCACTTTATCTGTTAGTAGCAGAAACCTGAAAAAAAATGGTAGCTTCAAGGGAACCAGGAGTTAGCGTAATGGCTATGTCACTGGACTCCCACGTAGTCAACCGCGGTTCACGTCCCAGACCCAGTGGCTTAAAACTTACGCCGGGCGCGTGTGCGTGCGTGCCCAAGATCCCGAGAGGAGAATGGAGGAGAAGGGATTGCGGCGTGACCATCCCCCCTGGGGAGTGATTTCTCGCTTTCTGTCTCTATGTCTCTCTCTGTCTGTCTGGGGAGCGCACGCGCCCTGTAGCAAAAATCTCTCCAAAAAAAAAAAAAAAAAGAAAAGGAAAAAAAATGGTAGCTTCAACAAACTAGTGTTTATTTTTCTCTTGTGTTAAATAAGTCGGGTAGGGCTGGCAGGTGGCATGGTGGTTAAAAGCACTGGTTCCCCATGTGACCAACTGCAGTTGAAGTCCCCAGACCTGGTGGCTTACTTTGTCTCTTT